ACAGGGGGAGGGGGGGGGGGGGGACTTGTAAACATGAAGGTACAGCAAGTGAGTTATTTGCAAGTTTACCAGGTGAAAATAAAGGGAAACAAAGCTTGAAAAGGAAAACTAATGCAGCTACCACATCTAAGGACTAATAAGTTCTAATATATTACATTTTGGGGGGTTAAGATATTCTTTAATCTGATGAAAACCAATTCAGGGGGAGTCCACTGTCCACTAATGGTGCCACCTCAACTAAGTTTTGCTTATGATAATAGATAGTTTAAAGGAGAACTATGGGGTTAGGGCTTTTCCCCATAGTTCTCCGAAGGGTAACAGGAGCACACAAACTAGCGTCCTCCCGTCACCCTAAGCTCAGTATACCGCGAGCTACAGCTCGCGGTATACTGAGACGGCACAGCTGAAACGGATCCCTACAATTATGTCTGGATCCGCCCAGCTGCGTGAGTGACAGCTGGCTATGCCTATCTAGAAGCAGATACCCAGCTGTACCCGCCCCCTCCCCTGTCCGTTGCGCCAGTCAGAGCTGGAGGATCGGAGCGGGGAGGGGGGAATCCAGCCCCTCCCCCTGTCACGGCTCTGTGACAGGATCGAGAAGTGAGCGAACGCCGGTATGTGTTCGCTCACTTCCCGATCTCAGGGATCCCAACCTGAAAGAAGCAATTTCAGGGAGGTGTCCCTCTCATTTCAGGGAGGTGCCCTTTCCAACCCCCCATCCGCAGACGGGGGTTTGGGGGGCGCTGGGCGAGAGCACCCCCCGGAAATGATAGCAGATAGCACAGGAAGCAATAGCAGGGCTTTTTTTAATTTATTTTTTAGTATTCTTCCAGTTGCAGTCGTCAGAGTAATCGGGCCGCGGCTCCCGATGTCAGAAAAGAAAAAAAATGATCACAGGGAAAGGTTTAATCTGCTCGATTGAGCAGATTAAACCTTTCTGGGAGGAAGAGTTTCTCCTATATATAATAGCGGGAGACTCCCAGAGCGTCCGGGAGAGTTGGGATGTCTGCGATCTACTGAGCCGACCTGTGACAGTTTCATTGTCACAGGTCGGCTAGAACTATGAGGATGAGTGAAAAGCACTCACCTCATAGTTCTCCTGTAATGGTTAGAAGTAATTGTGAGACATCAGATGTGACAACAATCACAGTATCATCATGTCACATGGGACAGTTTTAGTAAACAGTAAATCTAAGCCATAAGAAAACTAAATCAGTGATTTGCTGGTGTAATCCTGGAACACTGCAACTGTCCTAAAACAGCCAATGCAGTGCATCCTAATTCATGTTTTATATAGTATTCCATCAATTTGACTTAATCTGTGTATTATACACATGTACCATTTGAACAATACTACCAATCAAGCCCTCATGGTACCTCTAGACAGGACAGAAGGCTTTTCAAATAACTACATTTATTACAGTTATTCTCCCATCCATCATATAGACTAGATCTGTACAACAGGCCGTCAAAGGAAACAAAATTAGGTCAGCAGGCATGTCCTTGCAATGTGCGTAACCAGGGGTGTATCTGCCGCTAGGCAAACATGGCATTTGCCTTGGGCAGCACTTTCCAAGTGGGTGGCAAAAAACGTCACCCCCAAACCAGTGAGGCAGAGCCCCACCTGCCATTACCGGTATTGCAATCGATACCGATATCAGTGCTTACAGCGCCGATCCGCACATCTCTTCCTACTTCTTCATCTTCCCGCATCTGCCATGGGGAGTCCCCGCCGCCTGTACCAACATTGGGAAACCCCGCTGCCTGCACAGCCCTGATGAGACCCCACAGACCTGGTGAGACACCACACAGACCTGGGGAAATTCCACACAACCCTGCCCTGGGGAGACCCCACAGCCTTGGTGACACCGCACACAGCCCTGGGGAGATCCCACAGCCCTGGTGACACCGCACACAGCCCTGGTGAGACCGCACAGCCTTAGTGACACTGCACACAGCCCTGGTGAAACCCCACAGCCCCAGTGACACCCCACACAGCCCTAGTGAGACCCCACAGCCTTGGTGACACCGCACACAGCCCCGGTGAGAACCCACAGCCTTGGTGGGATCCCACAGCCTTGATGACACTGCACACAGCCCTATTGACACTGCACACAGCCCTGGTTAGAACATACACAACCCTGGTGAGAGACTACACAGCCCTGGGGACATCACACACAGCCCTGTTGACTGGTGAGACCCAACACAGCCCTCCCAAGACCCTGCACAGCCCACCTGAGAATCCGCATAGCCCACATGAGACCACACACAGCCAATTAGAGCGCGCACAGCCCACCTGAGGGCTCACAAAGGCCACCTGAGATGCTGCACAACCACCTGAGACCTGAATGCCTATGAAAAATGGCAAATTATTAATATTCCCTAAATCATTTTTAAAAGAGGCAGTGGACTTGCCACTCAGACAAATATTGTTTTTTTTAAATCTATCAATGTTTAATCTGTCGATTTTTTTTAATCTACGATAACCTATGGCATCCAAATTATATTTTTGGAGTTGATTTGCTAAAGGCAAATAGTCGGTTCACTTTGCAAGGGAATTTGCAATTTACATGGGAAGTTTCCCCTTAACTTAGTGAATGAGGTAAAGCTCTGCTCACTTCCATCATCCAATCATGTGCAAGAAAAAATACTGTTTTGTTTTAGTTTCCTTGCATGTGATTTGGTATTGGTTGCAAAGCGAAATTTCACCACTCTCACTAAGCTAAAGGAAAATTCCCCATGCAATGTTAAAATTCCCGTGCATAGTAAATAGCCTATTTATTTGCCTTTTGTGCAAACAAAATTATTTACATCAACTAAAGTGATGACTGAATTAAACTGAGTGCCAAAGTCACCATGTAATAAAAAAGGAATTTGTGGTTGGGCGAGTTCAAATTCTGAGAGATTCATGTTTTGTAAAACATTACTTAACTGTTCTGTTCCTCCTCATTCTATAGCCACCCATCTCATTTTTTGCCCTTTCTTTTCTTGTAATTGTATTTTTGATGTGGTAACTTTTTTTTAATCTCATTTTGTTCTGCATTATCAGAAAATATGTCCACTAACTTCCCTTTTCTGTCAGTTATTCCTAATTGAGAATTGGATGGTAAGGCTGAAATAAAAAGAAGTTTCTCTTTCTGGAAAGCTGACTCTTTTGCCAGTAGCAATAGGAGTATTATGAAAAATGGAGCCTTTTTGAATCTCAGACCCACACTGGGTGTAAACCTTCTTTGGCCATAATAATTCCAATGATATACTTTAATTTCTTTGGAATATTCTTTGTCTCTAAGATATTTTGTTCCCTTATTCTGCATGATCACATCCTCCGGAGTATTTAAGGTGATATTAAATTTTGTATCCATTTTCTGGAAGGTTTCTGTCCCTTTAGATTGCTCTAAATCAGTGTATCTCTTTTGTATTTACATGCATGGCTCTTCCAGTAAGGATTTTCTTGTATCTGATAATCATCTCTATTTATTCCAAGTATCTGTCACTGACCATCATTATCTCATTGTCATAGCCAATTGTTTGCAAGGATCTATTCACCTCAATCAAGGAATCATCCATGGTTACATTTTCAATGTGATATATTATGTTTAAATAAAAATGTTATTTATTTTTACTAAAATAGAGGTGCACATGCAACTAAAATGCACTGTAATGTAGTGTGTAGTAGGAATGTAATGGTTCAGATATGTCATACAGGGGTCAGACTATAATGGAGGGCGGAATAGGGGAAAATGAGGGGATGGAAATCAAACTGGATAAGGAGATTCCCTTGTTGCAAACATTGGAGATGATAGTACAAATTGTACTACAATAAAAGATACAGCAATTACAAGTGAAAAATGTAAAAATGGCTTGAATTGTTTGTTCACCAATACCAGAGGTCTGCACAGTACAATGGGAGAATTGGAATCTTTGGTGCACGCAGAGAACTATTATATAATTGGTATTGCTGAATCTCGGCTTGGTTCTTCTCATGATTGGGCTGTTAATATTCCTGGCTATGCTCTCTTTCAGAGAGACCGGGTAAAACGAAAAGGTGGTGGTGTTTGAATCTATGTGAGAAGTGATCTAAAGTGATTGCAAAAGAGGACTTTAGTGATGGTGAGTGTGATGGTGCTGAGGCGTTATGGGTGGATACTGTATACTGGTATGCATAACGCAAAGGTAATCGTTGGAGTTTGTTACAGGCCCCCCAGTGTTAATGAAGAGATAGAGACTCAGCTCCTTAAACAAATAGAAATGGCTACAAGGGCGGGGACAGTATAGTATTAATGGGAGATTTTAACTATCCTGACATTGACTGGCATAATGGCACTGCTGGAACAGTAAAAGGGCAGACATTTATAAACTTATTACATGACAATTTTATGGTACAGTTTGTAGAAGCCACCACTAGAAATGATGCTCTGCTGGATCTGGTAATCTCAAACAATGCAGAGATTAGTAGAAAAATCATGTCTGAGCATGTTGGCTCCTTAAAAGATAACTCGGAGTTGGTAACTGGGGACAAAGAGAAGGAAAATCTATTAAATACTTTCTTCAGCTCTGTGCACACCAAGGAACAGGATGTAACTCAGGTCCATAATGGGGATAGCAGTGCCATAGCATCTACTGAACCACAAAGCAATTGTACAATTATACATTTTTTGTGAGAAAGGAGATAACAAATAGCTCCAAGAAAGATGAGACATAGAAATGGCAATTTTAACCATTGATTAGGCTGACTATTGATATAGTACAGAAACAGTTAGTCAAAATTAAGGTGAACAAAACACCTGGACTGGATGGCTTACACCCACGTGTCCTCAAATAATTGAGCTGTGTAATTTCAAAGCCATTGTATCTAATTTTTAGAAACTCTCTAATGACTGGCTTGGTACCGATGGATTGGCGCAAGGCCAATGTGGTGCCTATATTTAAAAAGAGATCAAAGTCTTTACCAAGTAATTACAGACCTGCAAGTTTAACTTCAATAGTTGGAAAGAAAGTTTGAAAAACTTGAAAGTTTGATGAAGGATCACATGCACTTGTTTTTGCTTGAAAATAATATCATAAGAGATAGTCAGCACGGATTCACAAAAGACAGAAATTGTCAAACAAACCTACTTTCTTTTTATGAGGAAGTGAGTAATACATTGGACAGAGGAATGGCTGTGGATATAGTATACTTGGACTTTGCAAAAGCGTTTGACACAGTTCCCCACAGGCGGCTAATGTTTAAGTTAAGGTCCGTAGGTATAAAGTATGCACACTGTAATTGGATAGAAAACTGGCTTAAAGACTGTATTCAGAGAGTGGTGATCAATGATTCGTACTCTGAATGGTCTGAGGTTGTTAGTGGTGTCCCCCAAGGTTCAGTGTTGGGCCCCTTACTGTTTAACATATTTCTAAATGACATAGAATTGGAGATTAAAAGTACTATTTCTGTGTTTGCAGATGACACCACATTATGTAGTTGGAATACAGTCCTTAAAGGATGTCTCCAACCTACAAGCAGATCTGAATGCACTGTGTGATTGTACATCTATTTGGGAAATTTGGTACCTCGGCTTATATTCGGGTCGGCTTATACTCGAGTATATACGGTAGTTTTAGCCAGCTCAGTTTATTGTTTAAAACAAATCTGGATGTATTCCTAAATGCACAGAATATTACTGGATATTGAGTTCTTATAGGTATATTAAGCATCAGATATTGTTGATCCAGGGAATATCCGATTACCTTATGGGATCAGGAAATCAATTTTTTACCCTGTTGGAGCAAATTGAACAATGCTTTATAGGGTTTTTTTTGCCTTCCTCTGAATCAACAGTGGGTAATTGTGGGCATAGTGTTCTGTTTAGGCTTTTCTTCTTTTTTCTTTTCTTTCATATCTCTATAGGTTGAACTCGATGGACTTGTGTCTTTTTTCAACCTGACTAACTATGTAACTACGGTATGTAACTGTAGATAGCAGTTGGTAATACAATCTGGTCTGCAATTTTGACAGATTGGTCCTGCTGGGCATTAATATATGAAGGAAAGCTACTGCTGTGGCTTTCATTCATGAATTAATATTGTGTGTAAAAAAAATAATTGTTTTTTATATATTTATATATTTTAGATAATTATTAGCACTTAGCCCTATTGAGTTTTAATGGACTCCCTAATCTTATTGTTCCCGTAATATTTTTTCTCTTATTTTTTTTTGTATGTACATTTTTAAACTTGCATTCCTGTTTTGTTATGCCAATATAATAAAGACTTCGTAACAACAATTGAAATGTTTTTACAAATGAGAAACATTTCAGAAACAAATTTGTATTGGGGACACATTTTGGCAAAACCTTACCTACCAGAAGCCCCTTGTACAGCCAGTATGGAGCATAATAAGGATTCAATTTAGATGTGGCCCAATGTAAATGTCACCCATGGGCCCTTTTAAGGTGGACACCACTGAAAGAGACTATAGTGTGGGTAGAGAACAGTTGTGCCATATTTTATTTTGACCAATCAAAGAACATAACTTTGAATTCCAAGCAGGCTAATGTTCTCAGGACACAAAGTCATTGACAACTAGAAAGTTCTGCACAGTGGGTGGTCAGACAAGGTAAGCATGAAAAACAAAACCAGAATGTGTGCTCTCTATGTATTGCCATGCTATGTATGTGTCCTTGACTGTCTGCCCCCATGTGCTCCAAGATGGAGACTCTCATAGTTTAGAGTTAGGACCGCACTATAAGAGGTGCCTTGGCGCGGCAGTGCGGCTTACACATCCTTTGCAGAAGACGTGTATCCAAACCTCTGTCATTGTCCTTAGTGGTGAGACAAGTTGTTTTACATGCTGGTTTGTGAGTGTGCCATGATGCCTTTCTACTGTTCTACTTGACTGTAATGTATCCCAAAGGGCTTGCGTAGATGGCCAAATGCAGCATACATTAACACGCATTCAGCTGGCATTTGATTTCTGTTTCTAAGCTGCTTCAACCATTGATTTAGATTGTGAGAAAAGCAGTTCTGTAATCAAAGCAGTTCTGTAAGCAGTATATAATCAAATGACCATGTACACACATCCTAAAATTGTTCTTTTTTTCCTATAAAAATAATTTTTTTTATTATAAAGCACAGTAAATTTTGTAAGCAGGGTTAAAGCAATTGGCAGCAATTGTAACATAAATGGGTACAAGTCCAATACTTTATCAAAATAGAAAAGAGGTCTGGCTATGTATGACTGACCTTATATTTGTTTTACTTTTAAGCTTTCTGCACACGATTATTTTTAAAACAAATCCCAAATATCAAACCTGTTATTTATTAGGCACCACCCACAGTGCGGATCAGCTGAAGCCAAGCATTCATTGCACGACTGATATTGTTCACATTTTGCAACTCTCACCCGTTTTATCTAGGTAAACAAATCATATTTTTAGTATGCTACAAATAAAACATATAAAGGAATGGCATTTTATTTATCCATAATCTACACATATACAACCTAACAATATATGATTGCATTACAAAAATATAAATTAATTGAAAACATTACTGCCATGTAAAACACATTGATAACTTACATGCTAAAGAACAAGCCATCCAATAATATAATACATACTAATCTAATATAATTTGCGACCAGTTTCAAAACATTCTGCAATCTTTATTACCATTAAAGGAGAACTATGAGGTGAGTTAAAATCACTCATCCTCATAGTTCGAGCTGATGTGTGACAATTACACTGTCACACATCGGCTCACTAGATCGGGAAGTGAATGTTATAGTTGATTTGGAAAAATTCTCCAATTCATCTCACTTTCTAGATAAGGTATATTGTCCTAGATTGGTCACTTCTCCTGCCTTCCCCAAACTCTCCACCCTTTTGTGAATAACCCTGTTAGTCTCAAAAGCTTAAGGCAGAATGCCGGGCATACATATTCTTAACCCTTGCAGTGGGACTACCCCAGCATTGCAAGGCTTAAAGTGGTATTAATGTCAAATGTTATATAAGCTACAGTACTTCAAATGGTGATTAAATCAATTACAATGGATGCTGCTTCTTGAGGTTTAAAAGTTTTAGCTTATCGCAGAATGAGCTGGTTTCCTGTGTACCGGCCATGACATCCTGTTTTTGGGTGACTCCTCTCCCTTGCAAAGTCCTGCAGAGACACCCTTGTGTGTGCTAGTAAGCTGTGTGCGTCTCTGCAAACACACAGGCACAGCAAGGCCACTGCTCTTTTCCTCCCTTCTCCAATGGATAGTTGCTGGAGACTGCGCTCTCCCTTGTGATCTTGAACTGGACAAGAAATTAAGGGAAGCAGAGCTGAAAAAGTTGGCGCTGTTTGGAAACATGATGACTGTAAGTGCTTGAGCAAAAATTTTAAGAAATGCTTTCCTGGGCAATGTATATTTGACCTGGATTCATTATTGACAAAAGCTTGAGCGTTTAATACTACTTTAAGTGCTTGTTTTTGTCTAGGTGCAAAAATAAAGTTATACTCATCAGATCCTTGGAGATGGCTGGCTGTTAGAACAGTCCATGGAGCCTCTCTCCCCGTGTGCTTCAGCAGTCTGCAGTCCCTGAGTCATCACTTGTTATACACAGTGTATAAGATGTGAAGACGCTGGAGGACATACCATCGCTACAGCGAAGGAGGAGACAGGCTGGAGGATGCACCTAGATGAAAACGAGCACTAAACACCTGCAGTGCGGGTTAGCTTGAATATTTATATTTTATATATGAAAAAACTGTAGCAAGTAGAAAATACCAACCTCATTCGTAGTAGCTACATACAGGTAATTATCATCAAGAGGATCCAGGCGCATTGTTTTGAACACTGCAGCTTCAGACTTAAACTCATGTAGAACTTGTGTCAGCTGACCTAGTTTTGCGCCCTCTTGTTGTTCTAACAAGGCTGGTTAGACCCCACAGAGCCCTGCTACCCTGGTGAGGCCCCCTCAAAGCTCTGGTGAGACCCCCCTCTGTATGTGCGTTATAATTAATCGAAATTTTAATAATTACTAGCCCTAATTCATTAACATAAATAGATTTACAATAACTGGATTTACTACTTGTAACAGGTTGGGAAAAACATAATACAGTGTATGGGGCACAAACGTATCCACCAACGCTGATCAATTTCTGTTAAAGTAATATTAAAGTCAAATGTTATTTCGCTATTTTAAATGCTGATGAAATCACGTACAATGGACGCTGCTCCTTGATGTTAAAAGTTTTAGTTTCCTGTGGAATCAGCTGGTTCCCTGAGCACTGGCCCTGAAATCCTGCTTTAGGGTGGCTCCTTTCCCTTGCAGGGTCTTATGGAGCCACCCTGTGTGTGCTAATATGCTGTGTGTGTCGCCACAAACACACAGGGGTCTATCCACTAAGCTGCCGACGGCAGCCGAGTGAATAACTGACCCGAAGTGAAGTGAAGCTGTTCGGCTATTCACTTCAGGGTTGTATGGCTGATTCAGCCGTATATGGGCTGAAATCAGCCGTACATCGCGTGGCTTCGGGTCGGCCGAACATGCTGAGCAGAAGTGCAGAAGGAGTTTGACTCCAGCCTCCGTCAGGCTACTCGCTGCTGTTCAGCCTATTCTCATAGATGCCGAACAGCAGTGAGCTCGGCTGTTCTGCTCGGTCCCTCTACCGAGCAGAATAGAAAAACAGTTTAAAAAGTAGAAAGACATAATAGAAAACGATTGTGCGGAGCTAGCAGTAACAGCTAGCTCCGCCCAACTGTTATCTATTGGCCGGCGGTTCTGCTGCCGTAAAAAAAAACAAAAAACACCATAGGAATGCATAGCTAGATTCCTATTGGCTATTTCACTTTGCAATAGCCAATAACACCTGATGGAGAACTGCAGGTCCCCCTCTGCTGATTGACAGCAGCAGTGGGCGGTGCAATAGCTGGTTTGCTATTGGCTATTGCAAAGTGAAATAGCCAATAGGAATCGATCGAGCAGAGTGAACCTTTCTGGGAAAAAGTGTTTCTCTCCTGGGCGGCTGGGAGCCGTATTAGACTCCCAGAGCGTCCGAGAGAGTAATGATAGATGGCGTTCCTGGTTACCAGGTAACCAGGAACACCATCTGTCATTACACACCGAGAACACGGAGAGGCCGCTGTGATATCATAGCGGCCCGGACGGGTTGTCAGTGTGTAATGACAGCGTCCCTGGTTACCTGGTAACCAGGGACGCTGATCTCTCTGCAAGTGGTCAGAAGCAGGCTGTCGGCTGGCCAATGGCCGGCCACTGGGCCAGCTACGGCTTTCACCTCGGCTCAGCCGCTCGGCATACTTCGGGATCTGTACGGGCTATAGTGAATATCCTGTACAGCAGGGGGTCCTGAGGCCGAAGCTAGCCGAAGGATCAGACGAAGCTATGGCTAGATCCTTCGGCAGCTTAGTGAATAGACCCCACAGGCATAGTAAGGCAAGCCTCTCCTCTGCGCCTTGTTCCCCACTCCTCCTTCCTTTTTCCCTAGTAGATGGACACTGCTGTAGACTGCTCCCTTGTGATCTAGTACTGGACAGGAAGTCCAGGGAATCTGAGCTGAGAGAGTTTGAGCTAGCTATTTGGAAACATGATGACTGTAAGTGCTTGGGCACAAATGTAAAGACATACTTTGGCAATGTATATTGGTTTGATCTGAATTAATCTTTAATTTTTAACCTAAAGCCATTTTTTAAATTTTGGATGGAGTGAGGAAAGGTTAGAACATTTGTCAGGTTTTTACTACTATTTGTGTTCCCACTGGGGAATTTTACCCTCTTCCATTTCCCCAGATTCCCCAGGGAAAGTGGAGTTACCCTTTAAACTGGACATATACGGGCTGAACAAGAGAAAAACACACGAATCCCCAATCAATGCTAAACAGCGTGGCTGGAGGAATCTCCCCGTAGAGCTATTGCATTCTGACAGCCAGCTGCCAGAATACCTGGACAGAAACTGCAGCTGATTGGCTAAAGTCACTGTTCATCTGACAAATTTCTCTCCAGCTCCTAAAGGACCAACCACAGTTAGAATTCACAGGAATCCCAGAGAAGACAATTAGGCACCAGGACAAACAAAGACAGGGACCCCCCCTTCTCCACCCTCCCACAGGCATACAGATGCAATAGAAGCAATCGAAACCGGAAAGAGGTTTTAATACTTTCTATTAAAAACGAATAAAATAATGTCTTTAGACATATAATAATGTTATATTTATAGTAATTGTGAACTTCATAATTCACCTTCAGCAACCGTCCATTTCCAGTTCCAAGAAACAGAACCAATGTTGTATTTACTTCCAACACATATACTGCAGTCAAATCTCCATGGCTTATTGTTGGTTTAGAATTTACTGGCAAAGGATTAGGAAAGGTTTTCTAAAGACAACAAGATACAGAAAAAATAAATCAGAGGGGTGCAACATATAAACACCAAAAGTAAATGCAGGACGTGATTTTTAAGTCAGCCTATATATGGACAGTAACTTATGCAGATGATACAGTATATGATATTAAAGACACAAAACTGCTAAAACAAGCAAAACAAAACAAGCTGTTTCATTTCATTTCATAATGCAAACAAATGTCGGTACATTGCTTTAGTAATGGGGAGCTGCTGATACCTTCGACACAGGCACGACAGGTGCTTTCACATACAGATGGTAGACAGGAGCGTCAATTCTTTGAAATATTATAAGATACTGCTCACACCAAAGTGATATGTCACATTTTTCCAGAAGCACAACAACACTCGACAATAGGATTCCGTTTTGATTCTATGGGGCCTCTTCAAAACTGAGCAATGTGATGTCACTTGTCACACTAAAGAAGTATAGGAGGTTCTTTGAGGCAGGATTGTGCGTTTTTAACCCATAGATTCTGACAATTTCAGGACCATAGGACATACATATAAGTCCTGATCTTGAATTGGTTATACCAAGATCATAGCTGCTGCTGCAGAGCAGGCAGAGGGCTTTAGAGCTGAAGAGCCGCCTGATCACTTGTACCGGCCTGTATGTTAACTCTAAAATGATGAGCCATAAAAGCTTTTATGGAAAATTTTGAGTACCATTGTATAGGCATGCACAATGTTAAGTTTTGAAATGTTTGGTGTCCTTTTACTTGAGGTTACCCCATCTTTTATATTTTCTAAAAAAAAAAATGGGTATTGTATTGTGTTTGTGTGCACTAAAATCTATTTATGTATTTTTGTTCCTAAAAATATCAATTTGATAAACATTGGCACAAACTTTTGCCCATCTGTGAATTGGATAACAAAATGCTATCAAGACAATTGACGTTAGGGGCATTTAAAATGCATTTAATGATATTTCACTAATTCATAACTTCTTTAATGTTGACCTGAACTCAAAAAGTGAAGATTTGCTATCTTGTAGGGAACATCAAGGAATTATCCCTAAGCGGTACCCAGAAGAATTTAGTTTTTGCCTTAAATTTACTTGCAAAAGACTTCCTGGCATGTACCTGTACCTAGGCACTCCTAAATCTACATCCACATAGCTGTAGATCTGCAAGGTGTGTTACTGCATGGCTGCCTGTGATTGGTACTCTCATGAGATATGGAGTGACATTTTGTGATTTCTCTACTGTACTTATAACTGTTTCATTGTTGGAGAAGAATCTGTGCCTCCGGACCTGCAGTTCAAGTATCTCCCTGCTTCGGGTTCATTTTGTGCTTCTGTGGATTTGTGATTTTTGAATCTCCCCATCTGCTTCTTTATCATTACCTCATCAGTCATCAGATCACCAGTCACTAGAAGACAGCTCTAATACGAGGAAGTAAATCCATGGTACTCTACTAAGATGGGCACCTTTGCCTAGAGACAGTGCAAAACAGTGCATTGTAGGCCAGTAATGGAGAAAACATTAGCTTTAGAGAGACCACATGTAATACTGGTGACTAGTCCTTTTTCCTCTGCGTGCTCTTTTTTTGGCACAGATTACAGTTCCTCTTTCAACTGTCTTTCTATATCTGCATAAAGTTCCTCTTTGAAAACCAGCAATATGGCAAACATTGACAGCAGACTACTTGGCAGCAATGGAACAACAGCAGCAAAACGTATTAACCACCTTCCTGTCCAGGCCATTTCTAAGTTTTCAGTGCTCTCATACTTTGACTGACAAATGCTTGGTCATGCAACACTGGATCCAAATTAATTTTAGATCATTTTTTTTAGAGAGATGAGGCTTTTATTTTGGGGTATTTAAAATGCACTGGGGTTTTGTTTTTGGTTTTTACTATATAAAGTACAAAAGACCCCCCAGAAAATTGAAAAAAACTTTTTGTTATAAAACAGCAAATACAAATGCCAGGACAGTACAGAAAAACCCCGCAAGATCCCTTTTTTTGGAAAGTATACTTTACAAGGTTATCTAATCTTTTGGAAATTAAAAAACGTGACACTTCTGAGGGGATTAAAACATAGAGCTTGGTAATGGTGCAGTAGATACATTAAAGCTGAACCTCAGGTATGCAGTATTTTGCATACTCACATTGGTCCAGCTTATACCAATGTACAGCTGTAAGTATATTTATATCATATCATTGAGAGTATGCCTAGAATTTGTATCAATGAATTCAAGACATTGGGGTCTATTCACAAAGCTGCCGTTGAACAGTGTTCGGCTCACTTCACTTCTGATCGGTCATTCACTCGGCTGCCCTCGGCAGCTTTGTGAATAGACCCCATTGTCTGATTGCACATGGTGCAATGTACCCTTGTCCAATCAGAGAACTCCTTATTCATTGATAAAAATACAAGGCATTGTCTGAAGACCACAGCCAGTACTGTGGTAACTCTGGCCACTGTCCATTGTTTTTTTTTTTTAGCAGGTAAGGGGTCTATTCACTAAGCTGCCGTAGGCAGCCGAGTGACTAACCGACCCGAAGCGGACGTTAGCCGAACGCTGTTCGGCTATTCACTTCAGGCTTGTACGGCTGATTCCAACTGAAATCAGCTGCACATCGGGTGGCTTCGGGTGGGTATATCTTTTTTTTAAAGACTATGCATACAAAACACAGCAATGAAGAAGCAACCAGGCAAAAGCTGTAGACAATATTTGTATTTAGAGGCTAACACCTGAAAGAGCAAAAACTAACACAAAAATGGTCTCCAAAAGAGTGGATCAAACAAGAGTTTGTGGGACCAGTTTGACAGGATGGTGGAAAAAGGGCATACGGCAAAAGGGCATATGTAGGGGTGAGGAGACAAAGGGGAGGAAAGTAGTGAGCTTATGTGCAGATTCTGGGTCTTCCGTTGTTTTAAAACCTCCTCCTGCCCTGGGATCACTACCGTATCTCCATTTTGTAAAACAGACGGACAGCAATTTGTTTAAGTGTATCTTCAAAATAAAAATTATGCTTTATTTCCTAGCTTGGAAAAAGGTGTTAAAACCTAGTGTAACATAACAGCAAATATAGAAACTAACATACTGTATTTGCTGGCGTATAAGACTACTTTTTATACTTAAAAACATCTTCCGAAATTTAAATCCTTTCCTAAGTTTTCCAAACTATCAAAAGGTTTTGGCTAAACTAAAGCTGAACATTGATTTTTAGAAGAATAAATAATCAGTGGTATTCCCCATATTCTCTCATTTCCTTTATTTAGTAGATCACAGAATGTTTTCTTTGCCCTCACTAGCTTATCTTACATTACATTGTGTGGCAAATGTATTCTGTAGTATTGGGCATTGCACACAGCATGAATAATATGTACAAAAAAATTGTGGGTTTCTAGTGTTATTACACATGTTAATGCTTATATTTATCATCTTGTCTTGAATTGTATTGTAATTGTCATGTATTCCTTATATTGTAAAGCGCTGTGCAAACTGTTGGCGCTATATAAATCCTGTATAATAATAATAATAATATTTGCTGTTATGTAACACTTGATTTTAAAACCTAATTCCAAGCTTTGTCTGCTGTGTGATAAAGCATAATTTTTTTTATTTTTTTTTACTCGTAGTGTTACATACAGTTTTCTGCAGATCTTTGAGAGCAGGGCAGCCATCAGGGGGGTACGGCCGATACTCATGTGAGGGGCCCGGGCAGCCTGGGGGGCCCGCCCGGGACCCTTACATGAGTATCGGCCAACGGTGAAGAGCGAGGAGGCGGACGGGCCCCTGCAGCGGCGGCAGAGGCCTGGCCCTAGCAGCGCAGGGCCCCAGCATTGCCGCTCCAGCGGCTTTGAGACAAGCTGGGGCCCCATCAGCGACGCTGCTCGTGACGTCACTTCCGGCCAGTCCGGCGGCAGAGGAGGCCTGGTGTGCAGGTAAGAGGAGCTAGGAAGGAGGGAGGGGGATGCAGCCCTGACCAGCCTACCTTAGAACCCCTTCAGAGCCCACTATAGACAGTCTCAGATGGGCTGTGCAGCATCTATGGTGGGCTCTGCAGGGTCACTCTCAGGTGAGTCCAGCGCGTCGGTAAGCCCTGCGTCCAGCGGGTCAATAAGCCCTGCACCCAGTGCATCACTAAGCCCTGCGTCCAGCGGGTCACTAAGCCCTGCGTCCAGCGGGTCACTAAGCCCTGCGTCCAGTGGGTCACTAAGCCCTGCATCCAGCGGGACGCTAATCCCTGCGTCCATCGGGTCGCTAATCCCTGCGTCCATCGGGTCGCTAATCCCTGCGTCCACCGGGTCGCTAATCCCAGAGTCCATCGGGTCGCTAAGCTCTGAGCCAAATTCATATACTCTTCTGCATTGGTGTATAAATTTATTGCTGGGATTTGTAGTCCCCCTACTGCCGGTGCCCTTTTAGAGTGCATTAGAGTGTAAGCTCCTCTGTACAGAGATTGATGTGACTGTCTCGGGGTTTTCTTACAGCACTGCGGTATATGCCAGAGCTATATAAATGTATAATAACAGTGTGACCGGCTCAGTGTGGTGGCGGTGCGGTGGGGGGGGAGCCCGGCCTAAAGCTGTGTAAGGGGCCCCCAAATTTCTGATGGCTGCCCTGTTTGAGAGTATTTCTAATGTGCTCATAAGGTCATTTTGCTTGTTAAGACCATTTTATCATAACACTGTAGAGATTTAGCAAATAAATAATACAGACCAGAGAAAGCATATGCATTAAAAATAAAAATAGACTGTTTGGAAAATATGTAAGCAAATTTAGAGATTAATGGTGATAAATATGGCCATGAAAAATTGAGATAATTGAGACAACTAGGGGATACCTAATCAACATTTATACATGTATGCAGATATGTAGCTACAAACGTAGGTACCGTGTTTCCCCGAAAATAAGACAGTGTCTTATTTTATTTTTTGCACAAAATAAGACACTAGGTCTTATTTTCGGGGTAGGTCTTATATGACAGAAATCCCCGAAGATAGTGCTAGGTCTTATTTTCG